AAAATATTCATATTTACCAAAAATTTCAATTAAAATCTACATAAAACTCATTTACATAAGAACAGCATAAACTATAATTACTTCCGGTATATCTGAAACAGGTGTAGTCAGATAGAAACATTGACTCACTGGAGTGAAATTCTAAAAATAATGTACCAATTCTTAACAACACAACTCAAATGAACCAGCATTGCCAATTATTACATCCTAAAGTCTTCTAAATTTTAACTGTTACTAGATAATCCTTTAAGAGTATTTTAGCCCTCATTTGGACTTTTACTTTTTTTAACAGTTAGAAAATTAATAATGGTGGCTCTTCCTCACACACACAGCCATTGAACAGTTTATATTTGATAGGGGTGGACTGTAGTAAAAGAACAGCATCCTATATAAAACTTATTATTATCAAGCACATCTTCCAGAGTAAGCAAAAAGAGATCTCTAAGTATCCCCCCACCAAAAATGTATCCACAATCACCATAATAAGAAACTCGTAAAAGAGAGGATGATTTAACCTGGACCTAAATTTTTGATGGTTGGTAGCCTAATTTTTTCACACACACAAAAAAATACATTCAGCAAAACATTATCTAAAATGTGCAGTTTCCACTATAATTACTCATTAAGTTATCTAGTAAATTACTATGTAATCCATAAGCTGTAGAATTAATTCTCAGTTACATAGCATTCACCATGTAATTATTAAACAGTCCCCATCATTACAGCTTCTTAATCTATTATGAAAAAGACTAGAAACATAATTTCAGTTATAAAGCCCCTATACATTTATCAATACATGGGAGGTATATCATAGTAGTTGATTATATAATTACGAGATTTATATTTAGTAACTGTCATATCGCTAATGGTCAAATAAATTCATTCCCTTCTGAAAACTACATCTAGCTTCAAAGTTTGGTGTAACAGAGTTTTTAAATTGAAAGAAATAAAAATAACCATGATTAGCTAACAATTCAAAACCTGACTCCTCTCCCTACTTTTTTTTTGTTGTTGTTATTAACAGAAACATTTTATATGATGTTATATAAGCCATGCCGGCGGGGGTAAAAAAGCCTACTGTACTTTAAATAGAAAAAAAAATACACTGAAATTTTCATAAGAAAACATTTTGAAAATAGAGCTAAGACAATACACTCTTTACACGACATCAGGGTTCTTTAGTTTGAATCACTAATAGAGAGAGATGAATAAAAAGCAGTGTATTGATGAGGTTTGAGGTCAAATCATAGGTTTTTTTTGTTTTTAAGCAAAAGTCCCCCAAATCTAAACTGTTTGGGGTATACTTAGATACGGTGTGATGACAGGCACACAACTGAGTAAAACAGCCCCACCCAAAGCTCAAGGGCCCACTCACAGTCACCGCTCTCTTCCTTCTTTTCAGCCACTGTAATTCAGACAGCAATGGCCACTGCTCGCCACCTTCCACAGCTGTGTGAAAGAAAACGAACACCAAAATTTATGCTTGACTATATTTCAGTGGACTATGTTTTTAAAATATTCTCTGAAAGAATACTGGCATTGATAATATATGTCATCTTAAAATCAAGATAACTGAAGGCAAAAACAAAAGGTACACTGACCAATAAACACTTCACACTCTCATGGTCACAAAGATAGTTCGAACACGTACTTTTCTTCCAAACATCATGAAAACATAATGAGCTGTTCAAGATTCATTAGAGGATGCATATTTAACCAGCAACCACCTGACAACAACTGAAAATCTGAGAGAATTCCACTATGTTTAATTCATTTTAGAATGAAAAATAATGTATGGCATAAGCTTTTGCATAAATTATTAAAGACTTTTGACATTAATATACAGAAACAACATCACATACCCCAACAATCCCTAAGAAGCTTTTGCCAGTATTAGCCTACTTAAGATGCCCCAGGAGCAGAGCAGAGGAAGGAGGCCATCCAAGTTGGCTAAGGAGCAGCAAATTGCCAGGACAATTTAAGGATGAACCTCACTATAAATCACTCTACTAAATCTGGCCACATTCTCTGGTTCCCAAGACAGCTTTACTCCTGGGCTTCAAGTTTTGGTCTTTCCATCGGAAACGATTCTTCACGCCTCATTACGTGACAGCCACAGTTTACTCCAATGCCCACGCCACTGCTCACCCCAATCTCAGACCAATTTCACTTCCCAACAGCTTGCATGTTTACCAAGTTCCATTAGTTACAGCTCCCACTACATAAAATACAATAGCCATTTTAATTAAAACATACTGAGATTCTTCACTTGCTTAGAATATTGTCCCGCCAAGGTTTTCTGGATTATATGTGGTCGACCTGTGTTTTTCTGAAACAAAAACAATTGTAGGAAATCAGAAAGCGAGATGCGAACAAGCCTCTATGCAACAGTGTTAGAACTTTCTCTAATGTCCATCCTAAAATGGGAATATTTATGTGTCAATCTTTTAGCTATGAAAAGTGAAAATATGTCTTACAGAAATTTCAATTTTAAATAAGATAGAGCATCATCCAATGATCTCAGTTTAGATAAAAGCATAGTTTAATTTTTAGATATTCTTAAACCTTAGCTTTCTTCAAAGCCATGAATTAGAAATTCACAAAGAAAGAAACACAAAAGGTCAATAAACAATTGAAAAAAATGCTAAACACTTTAATGATCCTTCAAAATGCAAATTTTTAAAAATGAAGCACCAATTTTTGCCATGAGATTGGCAAAGGTTTAAAAATTGTGATATCCATAGTTTATTACAGTTGCAAGGCAAAAAGCACTCTCACATGTTGCTGGTGGGAGGAAATTGGTAGCCCAGTCTGAGAGATAGCAACATCTATCGACAACCTTGAAAATATTCATATCCTTTCCCCTAGAAATTATACTTTTAGGAATATCTTGTTACCATTACCATTACTGTTATTAGCCTCCATTACTGAGTGCACGGTATGTGCCAGGCCCTGTTAATGTATATATTATCCAAGTCATTCCTCACAAAAACCCCATACCGTTGATTTTTATCTTTATTTTACAATTAAAGATATTAAGGTTTAGAGAGATACATTATTGTCTTAAAATTATATTACAAAATAATGATCCAATTTATTTTAAAAATATTGGAATATATCTCTGAAAACTAGAAGAGTATACATACACTTAAAGGTAAAGAGAAGTTATCTTTGGAGGATAGGATAACAGATAATTACTTAGTTAAGTATTTTGCTTTCATTTATTTTGCTTTTCCACATTTCCTATAATGTAACTGTGGGTTTTATAATCAGAAAACTAGTTATAAAAAAGAACCTTCTTAATAAATTACATAAAAGACATAATAATTATGAATTTTGCTATTCATTTATTACTTGAGAGATAACATGAATTTTCATTAGAAATATCCTACCAATATTACTTGACTTATTGTAAAGCATACTAAAATTAATAATAATAAAGATCAAAAAAATCTAAATTTGATTACAGTAAGTACTTAATTCTGGTAA